AAATGAATGCCAGAACAGCGAATTGTAGAGATAGTAAGAAGACAAGAGTTAATAAGATCTACAAAGGATAGGAAATTGTGGAGAGCTATGATCGTTCACACTCTGAAAGGGCACTGCAGATAGAAAACTTGTAGCCCTCTATGGAATGTGATGGATTTTAGCTTAAGGGGAAATTTAAAGTACTTATTGTTGAAAAGCTATGAATGCCTCGGGAATCTTCGTTGTGCGGGGGAAATTTCTGCTATCGATTGATAGTTATTCGCAAGTAAATAAAAATAAAAAGGTAAAAATAACTCCTGTGCAAGTCAATCATATCTGGGGTAAGATTGTGAAATTGAAAAAAAAGCCTGGAAAAAACTTCTGCAAAAGATATTTCCTCTGTAGCCTGTTCTGATAGCCGTGAAAATATGACAGCAAATCTGATATATTCTTACTTGAATGAGAAAAATCTTATGCTTTTTTTGGCAAGTCCATAGCAGCGTTGTTCTCAACCGGAAGATGACTAAAAAGAAATATCTGCATTAAGTTCACATCCATCATTTTTTTTTTTATATTTTTTTTTACCCACGCGTTTATAGACGGCAGTTGTTGTCTTTAATGCTAATTGATTTCGCAAACATCAAACGATTCTTTAGTTAATGTATTACTCATCGTCATGAGCTGTTTTACATTATTTTGAAATGAAACTAATTTGACTTTCAAATTTGTTGACCAATTATGAAGACCGCTTTCCACTTGTGACTTGTTTTAATCGCAAACATTCCTTGTTTTAACACGACACAGTTAAAAACCGTTTTGTAATCAGTAATCGATTCGAGAAACAAGACGAGATGAGAAGGAAAACTAGAAAATTTGGAAATAGAAGAAAATTGTTTTAAGTCTCTTTAAATAATTTAGTGCGTCTTTAATTAAATAATTAAATAAAGTGAATTCAAAACAAACAGCATCCAAATCAGATTTTTCAGTCCCCGTTGATTTCATGGCTCTCTTTTCTTTAAGCCCTACTATATGAGATCAATATTTCTGTCTATATTTTTAAGATGAGGTATTATGTACACTATTTACATTATTCGGACTATTGGCGACAAAGATGAGGACAATAGTCCGAATAATGTAAATAATGTACATAATACCTCATCTCAGAAATATAGAAAGATACTGAAAGGCCGAAACGTTGTAATAAATATGGCGACAAATATGAGGACAATAGTCCGAATAATGTAAATAGTGTACATAATACCTCATCTCAGAAATATAGACAGATACTGAAGGGCCGAAACGTTGTAATAAATATGGCGACTAAGATGAGGACAATAGTCCGAATAATGTAAATAGAGATCAATATAGTTTCTATATCACTTTTTAATATATAATTAGTTTGGTTTTTTGCCTGATCCAGTGATATAGAAAAATGCACATTAGCAGTGCACAATGCAATAAGGAAGAATAACAGATGGAGCAAAAGGTTGGTTTGGAACCCAAAGAGTAATATGTGTAATAGAGAAGACTGGTAAAGATTAGTACAGTTACTGTTGTCATGGAATGGTTTGGTAAAACCCTTTCTTCAAAAGCGAACTCATTTTCTCAAGTTAAGTACTTCCCACAGTTGTTCAGGATTTCTAATATTCATTCTCGAATCAGTAGGACCTTGTCACCTGGAAGATTGGCGCAACACACTCTTGCACGTTGTATCTGCTACATTTATCCAATGAAGGAACGGTTTCATCGTCCTGGCGTAATAGTTAGCAAGCTGATCTTGAAGGCTGTTATTAGTGAGTTTGATAACCATTGAGTATTCCAGACTCGTTAACCAGTACCAGCATTAAGCTTTAATTGATAAATGATTATAATCCTATTGGAATTGCCTCCCCTTTTCTCCGTGTGGATCCTTATTGTTTTAACCCATTAATGTCCATTGTAAAATCCAGTATTCATTTTCATCTAACGCATTACAGTCTGTGGAGCACCGCGTGTACTATATAACAACAGTGGGTGTGTCTAAGGCTAGATAACCTGACGGAGCCCATTCAACTCAAATTTTATATTTTTTCTAGACTGGTTGTCACCCCAAAACAAGAGAATCAGTTAGGTTGTGGGTCGAAGAGATGGTTTACTGTCTTTTTCCCAATATTTCCTTTCTTTTAAATACTCAACCTGAATTCAAACTCCGTTTCCGTGTTGCTATCCGTACATCTAATATTATTTGTAAAAATAACACAATAAAAATTCCTTATTACTGATAAGTTTCTAATTTTATTAATTATAGGTTTAAGCCTAGAACACTAACCATCAATTAAAGTTACTACTAACCATGGGTATATCATACCTGATTTTGAAAATATTAAAAAAAAAGAAAAAATATTAAATATAAATCTTTCTTTGAAATATTTTACATTCAAACTTAGTACTTTGGGTTAAACATTACGAACTGAAAAACATTATTTAGGTAAAAAAATCAGGTACTGAAAATTGTAATTAAAAATAGGAAAATTTGTGCTGGGTACTATATACACATGTTTAGTGTTCTAGGGTTTAAAAAAATCCATTATTAACTATAGCTTTCTGTCTACAGGGTTGCGCAAGATAAATTATAGCCATTTTATATTTTTAAATTTCGCGCATGCGCATTTGTTGCTTTTTGATTCTGCCCAGTATAGTAGGATCAGAAATTTTGAAACGGCATGCTGTACAGCTTGGCATTCGCACCGGAAAGCTCAAATAAGAACATTTCAAAGTGTTTGGGTGTCAACCTGAGTATAGTTCAATGGATTCAGAAAGAGTTGGATGATATATTGAGTTAACCTGATGGTATTTGGAGTGATCACTAGTGATGGCGACATTATGCCTCTATTCATCTTCCCACATTTCAGCACGGAGGCCTATATCAGGTGCCTTCAAGAGGTAGTGCTGCCTTGGGTCAAGAGGGTGGCTGCTGGAATACACTATATCTGGCAACAGGACTCTGCACTATGCCACACCAACAGGATTACCCGGTCATGGCTGTCAGACAATTTCTGCGACCACATAACCTCTTACATCTGGCCAGCTAACTCACCAGATTGCACCCTGCTTTATTATTATGCGTCGGGCACAATTTAGCAAAAGACCAACAAAACTCCATGTAACACCAAAGATGAACTGGTGGCAAGGATTATGGTAGCATTCACCAACTTAAACATGGAGACTGTTCAGTAGAGATGCAAGAAATTCCGAAGTCGTCTGGAGACTGTGGTTGTAACCATTAGCGAATTTATTGAATAAATTTGCTCTTTAGTATTTTAAGACGTTTTTGCGTAATTTTGTATATATATATATATATATATATATATATATATATATATATATAAATGTGAGGTCAGTGTTATTTTCATTTTCGCGTTATTTAGACGACAATTTATCCATCGCACCCTGTATAATGTATTTTAATGCCTATTTTGAGGAATCGTAGGCATTAATGTTTCAAATAATTTTTCACAAAGTCAGTAAAGTGGGAATCTTCATTTCCGGATTTCTGAATGCAAAAGTCAACAATTAGAATGTTAATTCATGGATTTTCTATCTATTCCGGATTGGAGAGCAAGACTTTTAAAAGGTCATATTAATGGTGCGAGTCGTGGTAATGCTTGGTCGAGGGAAAGATGTCGAGCAAGCATTTAGTGCAAATCGAGTTTAGAGAGCTTGGTTGGATACTCGAAATAGTTGACTGAAACTTATTCTGCATCAGGTATAGCTCGTTTCACACGATAATCTGCTTTTTCCTGTCTGTCTCATTGTTTTCGTTTTTGCTTTTGTTTCTCACAAAAAATACCCTATGTACAAACATTACCCAGATTCTAAATTAGATTTCTACGGATACCAAAATGGACTAAGACGAAGCCATACGTGAAGAGGCCGTAAATGAAAGCTTAAAAACGACCTTATTAAATAAGTTGGATGGATAAAATGTCGCCTAAATAACGAAAAAATGAAAATAACACTGACATCACATTTTAAATATATTTACCAAAATTACGCAAAAACATCTTGGAATACTAAAGAGTAAAATTATTCAATAAAATCGCCTTTGGCTTCAACCACGGTCTTCAGAGGACTTCGGAATCTCTTGCAACTCTTCTGGACGGTCTCCTTGTTTAAGCTGGTGAATGGTATTTACTTGATTCCCACAAAATCAAGATGTGACACAAGGTCGTTTAACGTGGGAGACCCGAGTGTTTCCATTCAAAGGCTACTGGTCAGAATTGGTCATAGCTTGTCCAAGCTGGTCAGAGCCTAGTCAAAGCTGGTCATGACTTGTCCTAACAGGTCCAGGCCGGAGCCAGTCCAAGCTAGTCAAAGCCTTGATCGAATCTCAGCCATAGGCCAAGAAACGATCCAATATTTGTCAAAAACCCCAGCCGGTGAATGCTGACATAATCCTTGACTTCAGCTCATCTTTGATGTTACAAAGAGTTTTGTTGATCTTTCAGGCAACTACGCCCCACACATATTAATCAAGGGAGTTACAGTCTGGGGAGTTAAGTGGCTAGTTGTAAGAGATAACGAGGTCGCAGAAATTGTCTGGTAGCCATGACTAGCTTCTACTGAGGAGAATTTGTGGAATAAGTGTTAAAGGTCTTGTGGATTTACTTCTCTTTTCTTGATTCTGTAACAAAGTCAGACAAGAACAAAACAAATTGTGGAGACGAAGATTGCCAGCGACAAGTCTTATCGCCATTAAACCAATTATTTATTTATCTCGTTTTGTTTTTATATACACATTTTTTATATATATTTTGTAAATATATTCGTGTATATATATATATATATATATATATATATATATATATATATATATATATATATATATTTGTATATATATGTTTATATATATATATATATTTGTATATATAATTTGTATATACATTTTCTTTATATTAGTAACATTATCTTCATTTTTAATTGGTTATGACATTATTAACTATGACTAATTTTAATTAGAATGTCTTCTCTTTTCGTTTTACTGACGGCCATATCACCTTGAAACAACGGTTCTTGTACGATCACTGAAGATAAGCAACGTCAAACCTGGTCAATACCTACCTGGGTGACCGCTTGGGAATAACAGGTGCTGTAGGTTTCGATGTGCGGGTGGTGTAATGGTTATTGGCTCGGAATTGTTAATTGGAGAGCCAAGTTCCCATTCAAGTTGTGTTTGTTACATACACTTATGCGCAAACACGCTTGGAATATGTATTAATTCACTTGTTCTCTCCCTATCTATGGCTTAAATAGTAGGATTTGTATCAGTAAATCATTATTATCTCCACCCCCACAAAAAATATTACAATCTAAAAATGTTTTCTCGTTTTAAATAATATGGGGCATTGTCAATCAAAAAGCATTTTTGTCGAGTATTCATTTCCTCTTCATTTCATATTTTTCATCATGTCGTATTAGTAGTAATATTACCATAAACTTTTATTAGTTGAAGCATTGTAAACAATTTGACTAATATTTCATTGGCACCTCGACGTGGTTTAATGGTGAGCAAGCTTGTCTCGCTAGATCAATTACGAGTTCGATCCTCACCAGGTGCCCCATATTGTCGGCCTTGCCAAAGAAATCGCAAAATAGAAATGGCAACTACGAGTAGAAAGAGTACCGATGCTCTTGTAACATTGCGCCTGTGAGAAAGAGGTTGTAGGGTGGAAGATAATTCATCACCTACAAGTCCGCGTAAACGTTTTTGAACACTGTATTGAAAATTGTCGTAACCCATTTTTTTTTTATCACCTGTTATGATATATTTAAGGAACGCCCAGTTAGGGCGATACAATTCGTTATTGGAGATGATTCCTCAAATCGGAAATTTCTCAACCTAATATTTGGTAAGTTTGGGGAAATGGACGGAAGAAAAGAGTCACAAGAACCAAAAAGAGGCTCTAAAGCAGCGTTTCTCAACCTTTTTAACCTTAAAAACCCTAAATTACATATCTCAAAGAATCCCTGCACAAAAACAAAATTATATACGATATCTTTCTCATTTTGTTTTCATTGTAGTTCACGTGATAAATGTCATAGTATATATTTTTGAATAACTAGTTTAAGGAAAAATTAATACTTCTTTGTCAAATTTTTAGGTAATCATACTTATTATAAAACCCAGGTTGTGTGTGTGTGTGTGTGTGTGTGTGTGTGTGTGTGTGTGTCTGTACGTTTATATATTGGATCGGATTTCCTACATTTTTCAACCGATTTCAACAAAACTTCACAGGACTACGTAAATATACCTTGCGGTGGTTCTGACAGCGCCCAAAATTGGAAAAACACAATTGTTTTTGCACGAAACCAATTTGAAAACACGATTAAGAGTTATCGCGAGAATGAAAGGGAGACAACTCATATTGAGTTATACTTAAAACCCAGGTTGTTTGTGTGTGTGTGTTCGTTTTTTATGGGATCGGATTTCCTACATTTTCAAACCGATTTCAACAAAACGTCACTTTTTTTTTTGGCAGGTAGTGTTTGTTTATTGTCTTGCACACTTTTTTTCTTTTATTTTTACATTCAGAATGCTTTAAAAATTCCATTTACAAGACAATTGTTTATAATAAAATTCTATTCACCAATCGATAGACTCATAACGATTGAAAACAATTTTTTGTTTAAGTTTGGGTTTGACCAATTCGTAAAAAAAAAAAAAAAACTAATTAAGACATGCGTGTCCGTCAACCTTAAACAATAATTTTTGTCAATTTTATTTTTCAGTCTTTACGATGGTCGATACTTGATCTATCTCTTACTGTTACATTCCCGGGCAACGCCGGGCTCTGCTGCTAGTGCTAAATAAAATTCATACGGTTCATTTATAATACTTCATCAGGGAGTTTTCCTAACACAATAGGTTAGATAGGTTGATCTCTATATTACAATATTACAATAACCAAGAATATATAGTGTGTGTTTAGTAATATTACGTATATGAAATTAAATAAAAAGTCAAAAGTGCATTAGCTTATCTCACCTGTTCTCATGGAATCCTTGCGGACATTTTTGCAGAACCTTAGTGTTCCGGGGAACCCCGGTTGGGAAACGCTGGTCTTTAGAACAAGAATGATGTCGAGCAACAAACAACAGGAAGTTGTGAAAAGCTATGAACGTCTACACCCTGAAGCAGAATGACACACACACACACACAGAGCGAGAGAGAGAGAGCGAGAGAGAGAGAGAGAGAGAGAGAGAGAGAGAGAGAGAGAGACCGATTCCTTGTTGTAGAGGGAATCTTTTTAAGTTTGAAATATTGTCTCCCTATTTACCTAACTCCCCACAAGGCTAGTTTTTAACGTAAGGCATTACAAGCCCGTAGGCTCGGGCAAAAACACGGGAAGGTTTTTAAAGACGAGGCTATTTTTGAAAGTGCAGAGTGGGGACCCCCGATCATCGTCCTCTGTGATTTACAATAGGAAAGTGGTGATGAAAATTTCTCGGATCGACCTAAAGCTTCGGTCATATGGTGAGGTTACGCAAAGTGGGTAGGGCTGAGAAATTTTCAGCGTCCCCACGAAAGTCAAGATATTTTGAATGTGATTAGGCAAAACTAGTATTTTTACTTTTGTTTATAAATACTTATCGCAAAATAGAATCCACACATTTGCCTTTGATATTTTCCATCAGAGAATTTATATATATATATATATATATATATATATATATATATATATATATATATATATATAATGGACTATCCTGTTGGTTTCGACGTAGATCTGACAACTTAATTGATTCAGTTAATTTTGTGCGATAATCTTAAGTCGCACTTAAGACCCGCTTAGTTATTTATAAAGTAGGTCGCATATGGAGAAAGATTGAGGATTGTGGAATGAGATCACTGTTAGATTGGCTGACCTTTTAGATCGTGCTCTTGCTTCTTGAAGACGAGTCAGACAAGTTGATTGAAAACTGCTGAGTCCACTAAAATACGTTGATCTCCATTCTACCCGCTCCAAGGCTAAGCGCTAGAGTGTGTTATGAAGTAGATTGTGACGTCTTCGCCGCGGCGTCAGCTGTTCGCTCCTCGCTGCTCCAAACGTGACGTTCTAACCCTTTGGTGATTCGGGTAGGAATCCGGTTAGATTTGATATCAGTCTCGCAGTTCCCAACCTGCTTCCAACGCCTGGTTACCAGGGTAACTGCACTGATCTCCAGTCTGCCTAAGCACGTTGTGAATTGATCTTAGACAGACGAGATCAAACAGGGGTTGGGGCCGTAATGCAAGCTGAGTTCAACGGGGGTGATAACACACAAATATGTATAAAAGAAAATAAAATGAAAACTCACAAAGTCCAAAGTATCAAGAAAAAGGTAACAAACTTTTTATGTCTATTTGTTCGGTACATAGGACTATGTCTACTTCCCGACCCGTTCTGTGGATTGTGGCACGACGCTTTCCGCTAGGCAAACTTTAAGGCTTCAAGTTGTCTGCTCTCTAAGAAATTTGTGTTTCGGTGTGTCTTTGGACGAAAGTCGAAAAAAAAACTTATTTCTGTGGTCTGATTCTAAGTCGCTCTTCAAACTACTTGTTCTTGGTTGAAGAAGAGTCCAAAAGTGTGCGTGAATCTTGGTCAGCTATCTTGACGCGGTTTCAACACTGGGCGCTCATCTCTGCTTGTCGTTGTCGGCTCAAAACTTCTCGCCAGGGTCCGCGGCTGAACTCAGAAACTTCTTCTCTTCGGTCGCCGTCCGAACGAACTCTCTCAGGCTCAGGCGAACGAACTGGCCTCTTTCTGCCCGCTTGGGGCGAACGAACTGATTTCTGTCGGTTGAAGTTGGGGTTTCGCTTTTATTGACGCCGTCAAAACTGGGGTGGGTCTGTCGGCGCCAGGGGGTTCTTCGATAATTCTAAATACGTATCCACCCTTCTTATTTCTGGTTAGGGATTTTTTTTTTTTCCATTTTCGGTAACTTTCCTCTCTCTCCCACTCTCTTACTGTGCTTCTGAGGGCGTGAACTAACTTCCCCACTTCTTCGTATCGGCTCTAACACTTACACTTCTGATAGGGGCGTCGACCGATTTTCTTCGTGCGTCACGTGGTCGGGTATCTTTCCTCCTCTCGGCCAATGAGGTCCTGGTCGGGTATCTTTCCTCCTCCTTCGTGCGTCATGTGATCTTATTTGGCCAATGACGTCTTTAGTCGGGCGTGGACAATCCGTGGTTTTGTTTTGGGAAAGAAACACCTTGCTTAAAAAAAAAAATATTAATTTAAATCGCCCTTATCATGAGCGACTGAGATGACACCTTCGGCTTTTTAACACGTGGTATTTGTCAAGCAGTTTATCGCTAATTGGATATGACCTAAGAAATTTTTTCCTACCTGTTGGCGCGTTTCTGAACGAAATAAAAATATTTCATTTTCCTTTCGGCTCAGGTGTTGATAATAAAAATCTTTATTATCTCAAAAAAAGCGTTTATTCTGTCAAAATCTTGTGTGGCTTTTTGCAATTCTGAAACTTCTGGGTTTTTTTATTAATGGTGAAGACTGTCTGTGTTAGATACAGTTCACCCAATGTTTTTTCAATCATCCCCTTGGGTGACATCCAATTGACTTATCAAAATTCCATTTTCGTGGACTTTTTCGTTTCTTCAACCAATTGGTAAAATCCATTTTCCCTGTAGGTGTGTTAGATATTTTGGATATTTTTCGACACCTATTATCTGTCTAGCCGTTTGTGTGTGCTCGCCTATGACCTGTTTTCGTATTATTTTTTTTTTTTTTTTTTTTTCGTTTTCTCTTTCCTTCTTCCCCAATCGCTTGAATGTAAAGAAAGAATTATTCTTAAAACCTAAAATATTTTTCGGCCTTAAATAATTATTAAATGGTTGATAAACCGTAAAAAACAAATCATATATCTATGAATATTTCTTTCAAATCGTCAGGATGCATGGTGCCACAAATTGACAGCTGACAATATAAATATGTCTACCAATTTACGTAAGGAAAGAATGTCTTAAATAAATTTGACAAAAAAAATGCAATATTAGTAGATGTCAAAAGACACGTGTTTGAGTAGATATGTCTTCTTTTATACAGTGTCAATTTACGGCTTTGGCCTTGGTCATTCGAAATTTTCAATAAAAGCAGCTAGACATAAATTTATAATGTTTCAAAAACATGGATATCTACTGAAGCGCGTTTGTCCAATAAATATAACGTTTAAAATTATATATATATATATATATATATATATTAATAAATAGCAATGTTTTTTTTTATTTTGATGATGTTACCATGCATCTGGATTCCAGAGGTTCGTGATTAAAAAAAAACGTTGAAAAATAGGGATAACAACAATTAATTGCTTATATTTTAGTTTTTGAATTTATGCATTATTTAAGACGTAATTAAATTTTCATCTGTATTCCAAACATTTGTTCATTTGGATGCAGAATTTTTCGCTCATCTCATCGGCTATGGAAAAAAATGTGCAAACAGTTCGCGCGGATCTACGTACAATAAGGAAGTTGTGATCATTTTGGCATTTTAATTTTAATATTTTTTCCAAAAGAGAGAAAGAGAGAGAGAGAGAGAGAGAAAAAATTTTTTTAATAATTTGACGAAATTGGACAGTAACCAATTCTCTGATTCTTCCATCTGCGAAATCAAGAGGGAGATGCTGAAAAAAACATCAATCAGATTTAAATGGCAAAACATTTTATATTTTATTAATCATATATATATATATATATATATATATATATACACAGAGTGCGATGTAATAAATTGTCATTTGTATATTTTGAATGATATCGCGCATTTAGAAGGCGTAGTTTTGTTTTTTGGTTTTCAGGATTGCACAGTATAGAATTTTTAATTAGACTTGCTCTGTCTGTGAGAAAAGGGCAAGAATGAGCAATTTGCGGAACCCAGAAAATATGTATTTTTATCTTGACAGGGGTGTCAAAACTTACTGTAATTTTGGGCAAATATATCTATTTAAAATTGATATCAGGGCGTGTATTGATAAATTCTGCGTAATTTAGACGAAATTTATCGATCGCACCTTGTTTGTCGTGAATATTTGTGTGTAAAATAATGATACATACTAAAAAAGTTTATACTTTTTCCTACATCATTGAGATTGGAAAAAAAAACAGACATTCAAAAGTATAATGTGTTTTGCTCGGTCATAATGAAGATAACAATTACCTTTTTTAAAAGAGTTTGTGGCTTAAAAGCCAGAGGAACGCTACAAGAAAGCGGTCTTATCAAGCACCAAGAATCTTTTAGTCAACAAATGACATGAGAAGCCATCAAATTTTCACCTGTCTTTACATTAGAATATATATCAAGTTTTTACTTGAGAGAGAGAGAGAGATTTTAGGATCAAAGGGGGGGAATTTTTATACTGAATGGAGAACGTTCATCAAACTGGAGAAAACTCAGGTTAGAATAGAGATAGATAGATAGATAGATGTCAATTTACTGAGATAAATCGATAGATATGAACAGACTGATATAGATAGCTAATGAAGAGGACTCAGATAGATAGAACATATTTAGCAGATTGAGATAGGATAGATAGATATTTAGATAGATATCAAGATAGATAGATGATTCTTTTATGATCATGATAAGAATAGATAGATAGATAGATAGTTTAGATAGATAGATATGAACAGACTGAGATAGATATATAGGAACAGACTGAGATAGATAGAAAATAGATAGATAGATAGATAGATAGATAGATTTTTAATGAACAGACTGAGATATTTTGGATAGATAATGAACACAATGGGAGATAAGATAAATATGAACACACACTGAGATAGATAGATAGATAGATAGATAAAATATGAACAGACTGATATAGAATTGAACAGACAGACAAAAAGACAGACAGACAGACAGACAGATAAATAGATAGAAATTTTTTACCTGATAGAAAAAAGATTAATAGATAGATAGATAGATAGATAGATATGAAGAGACTATGTATTGAAAGAAGAGGAAGCAATATTGCATCCATTACACATAAAGACATTTCGAGTTAAGTTTAGCTATCCATTACACGATGTTGTGAGTTCGATCGTCACAGCAGGTTTTATTATTGCATCCTTGTATGACAATAAACTAAATTTAGTACATTTAGTACATACTTACACACGAATACGCACAAATATATTCGGTAAGTATGAACCGATTGGTGTTCCAGTGCTACCGTAGTGTTATTGTGATTCTGGCGGTTTTAAAAAAAATTTTATGGCCATAAGTGCAGAGACATCAGCATTCTGGAAGTTAACCACGATTAACGCTGATTTCGTCCAGTGATGGGTCGTTGTTGTTGTGTATCTGTAGATAATCAGGTAGGATTACTGAACGAGAAGTTTTAACCTATCTGTCTTTGTTGAAAATCAATTCTACAAAAGAAGTTAACAAAATCTGTTAATAGCTAAGAACAGGTCAGATAAAAATTTAAAAAGAAATAGAAGAAAATAAAGATACATTCGGGCTTACTTGCATTATTTACATTATTCGGACTGTTATCCTCATCTTCATTGCCAGCGAAAGATTCAAAACGTTTCGGCCAACACCAAAAAATCCGGCCTTTATGTCTATTAATTTCTCTATATCTGTATATATCTGAGATGAGGTATTATGATTACTTGCATTATTTACATTATTCAAATATTGTTATATATCATCTTCATTGCCATATTGACAACCAATACCAATTTTATTTCCGGCCTTTAAATCTAGTCTTCTCTGAGATGATATTTGAGCAACAAAATGAATAAATAAATATAAATGTTAAAATTATTCAGACTGTTATTTTCATCTTCATTGTATATAAATACAACGTTTCGGCCGTTGTACGCTTCCAGCTCTTCAGGATGTAATGAATGATCTCTATATATCTGTCTATAAATCTTAGATGAGGTATTATGATTACTTTATTATTTACATTATTCGGACTGTTATTAAATCTTCATTCCACATTTTAACGTTACGGCCGTACTGATCTAGGATAAAAAATTTTATAATCTATGTCTCTATATATTAACCTATTAAATCTCTGAGATGTGGTATTATGAAAAAAAAAATTTAAATATAATTGTTATCCATATCTTTGAATTGCCATATTCACAACCTTTCGAATGTTTTTTTAACAATCCGGTGATTGAAATTTCGAACCGAATTAATGTTTTAACAAAACATCACTGAAAATACTAAAACTTAACAAATCATAGAAAAATATATTTAAACCAAGAAAGAAATAAATACAATATGGCAACCAGTAATGAAGAGTCCTGGGGAAAGCCAATGAACAGCAACAAAAATTGCAATATAAGCTCTGCTAAAAAATGCAATAATAATAACAAAAATTGCAATATGAGCATTGATAAAAAAGTGAGTGCTGAGACATTAAGTCCTAGAAATTCATACAGATACATCCTCATGGACACATGGTCTAGTGGATAAAACGTTGGTTAGATCCAGTGGCGAGACCCAAAGAGTTGTGAATTCAATACCAGGCCACAGCAGTCGTGAGCCAAAACTTAGAGAGTTGAGTTAAATGGAAATTTCAGAGACACCCGGAAGAGGCATGGCATGTGGAACTAGAACAATCCACCCCCCTTTCCGGAAGTAGGCCGGGGCGTAAAACGGGCGAAACGTTGTGAATGTTGCAATGAAGATAATGATAACAGTCCGAATAATTTAAACAATACAAGTAGCGTAGATTAAATAAAGGGCTTTAGTTCGGAAGTCTGTAAATTAACCTGATCGACATACATCTTGATGAAATGCACAACGGCCGAAAATTTGTGATGAAAACAACAAAGATGAGTACAATTCACAGAGAATTTCTGAATACGCATATTTTTTTTAGTATGGCTCTGGAAGTGGCTCAGTGGGTTGGAGGAAATATCCTTTTACTCAATTTTTAATGAATTCTGTTTGGTTTATTTCAGGTTCGAATCCTCTTAGAGTTTTCTCTGAATTCATTTTATGTCTTCAAATTATTATTTTTAAACTGTTTTTTTATTTATTTATTTCCTCTTTCTCTTAAAGAGTTAATTAGTTTCTCGGAGGTTTTCGCTGTTTAATCTAAATTATTTCCTGTTTGGAATCATCAAAAGACATTCTCATGTAATAAAAACGTCGAACCAGGATTACAAGCAAGTTTTATCAACATTCTTTAGGCAGTTTAGGTATAATAAATGCAAATTTTACAAACAGATGTCTGAATCGAACAAAAACACAGTACATTGCCTGCGCAACTATATATGAATTTTGCATGCGCCTGAGATGAATGTTCACGACTGGTTTAATGAAAATAATGACTTGTGTGTGTGTGTGTGTGTGTGTGTTGTGTGTGTTTTGTGTGTGTGTGTGTAAAAATTCTGTGAAAATTAATTCCAGAAGTGCTATGAAAATTGCAATTTGAAAAAAAATGGGGGCTGGAAAAGAAATGGAAAGGAACTGGAATGGGGAAGGAGGAAATGGGAAAAGAATTGTATGGGAAGAAGAAAAAGGGAATGTTTGTGGAAGACAAGATATAGAAAGAGAAAAAAATGAGAAAGAACTAGAAGTAAAATAAATAAAGAAAGAAAGAACGAAAAAAAGAAAGAAAAGTAGAGAGAGAGAAAAAAAAGAAGGGTCCATGAAAGACAGAAAATGTAAGGAAGAAGTTGAAAAGAGAAAGAAAAGTAGAAAGAAAAAGACAAAGCGATCTTAAAAAGAAATCAAGAAAGAAGAAAAAGGTAAGGAGAGATTAAGGAAGAAGAAAATTGCAAAAAATGGAGAAGAAAAAAGAAATGAAGAAAGGAATAAAGAAAGAAGGAAGGGGGGGAAAAGGAATATAGAAAGAAAGGTGCAAAGTAGAAAAAGGAAAATGAAAAAGAGTAAAAGGTAAAAAGAAAAAGAAAAATAAGAGGAAAAGATAAGAAAGAAAAGCAAAAAGCAAAAAAAAAAGCTTAAAAGAAGGTACGGCAGTAAAAGAAAAAGGAAAGAAAGAAAGAAAGAAGGAAAAAAAAGAAAGAAGGAAAGAAAGAAAAAAAGAAAGAAAGAACTTTATTCTTTTTTTTTTTCTTAAAAGAGAAATAGAAAGAAAGGAAAGAAAGAAAGAAAAGAAAGAAAGAAAGAAGGAAAGAAAGAATGAAAAATTGAAAGAAAAGAAAGAAAAAGAATGAAAAGAAAGAAAAGAACTTTTTATTTTTTTTTTTTTTTTTTTCCCTTTCCACCTTTTTTTTAATGGAAAGAAAGAAAGAAAAAGAAAGAAAAAGAAAGAAGAAAGAAAGAAAGAAAAAGAAAGAAAAGGAGGAAGATGGAAAGAAAGAAAGAAAAAGAAAGAAAGAAAGAAAGAAGGAAATAAAGAAAGAAAAAGAAAGAAAGAAAGAAGAAAGAAGAAAGAAGGAAAGAAAGAAAGAAAAAGAAAGAAAGAAAAAGAAAGAAAGAAATAAAAAGAAGAAAGAAGGAAAGAAAGAAAGAAAGAAAGATGGAAAGAAAGAAAGAAAAAGAAAGAAAGACGAAAGAAGGAAAGAAAGAAAGAAAGAAAGAAAGTTTGAAGAAAAAAGCTTGAAAGAAGGTACGGGAGTAAAAGAAAAAGTAAAGGACTGATGAAAGAAAGAAAGAAATTTATAAAGAAATAAACAGAAAGAAAGAAAATAAAGAAAAAAGAAAGGAAGAAAGAAAAACGAAGGAAAATTGAAGGATAGAAAGAAGAAAGAAAGAAAAAAAGAAAATAGAAAGACAAAAAGAATGAAATGCAGAAAGAAAGAAAGAAAGAATGAAAGAAAGAAAAGAAGTATGATAGAATGATAATTAAAATTTAAGACGACAATTGAGAAGGATGAAAAGTGACAGCGATATATACGGAAAATGAAGTTAGGTGAAGTGACGAGAGAAAGAAAAGAAGGAAATTGATGATAGAAAAAGACAAGCAAATAAGGCAAACATTTATCAAAAAAAAAAAAAAAAAAAAAAAAAGAAACGGTGAATGTTTGGGCAGAGGATCGGAATGAACGTAGATAAGTAATATGTTGAAAGGTATGAAAAAAAGAAACCAAAAAAAAAAAACAAACAAAAAAAAACTGAAGAAATCCAAAATGAAAGACCAGAAGAAAATGAAATTGTGATATGAATGGCCTGCAGGTATCCAATGACATTTGACGATCAGCGGCGAAGGACAACGTCGACGCGGGAACTACAAAACTACCACGCACACACGTACGAATGGCACGCAGGAAAAGAAAGAGAGACCGTGGCCTGGCGTCGTCAAGTGCGTAAGCCAAGCATACTCAATATTCGTTGCTAAGAGCCGGTGACGTCATCCGATTGGCAGCTTCGTCGTAGCCCGGTTCACACTGGCGGTGGCGGAGGACACTTGTTCGTTCCTCCCTCCTCCGCCCGTGGCACCGGCAAATTCCAGAATAGATACAAAGAAAAGACTCAATAAGAAGAAAATTTCACTGCAACACGGTCCCGAATTGGCAATGACTGCAATAATTGGTCACTCGGTATGGACCGCAATCACTCTCAATAGCAAATAACATTAAACCCAACACTCTTTGGCAAAGCACTCAATACGTCTTGTATTTGTTAAGGGAATGTTTAAATTAACGTTGCATTACTTTGCTTCGAGTAGATAGTTAACTGTACACCTACCTGAAACGAACGTGGCTCAAAGCTGTTTTTAAAATAGGAATACCACGCATACATGAGATTATTAAGAGAAATTGTTGAACGTCACTTTATTGGGACGCCTCAGGCATTAGGGAGTGACCCTCTTAATGAAATTGGGAGTGGTACTGCCTTGGAGGATAATTGCTTGCAGCTGAGCATCTTATGTTTTTCATTTACTTTATATTATATTACTAGCAGCATGACCCGGCGTTGCCCGGGCTTGATTCAAAAATCGTACGACTCATACAGCAATCGCTATCACTCGACTTAAAATATTTTTGCCCTTCCTTGCCTTTAAAGGAGTGCCCTTTGCCATGCTGATGTTGCTACATGCCTTACTTTTTGCCTATCTCACACTGCGATTTTTTCTAAGCTCTGTACTAAACATTAAATCTATTACGAAAAAAGAACTAAACAAAATGAACACAAAACAATCAGCTTTAAAAAAGGACTCGTAACTGGAAAAACCAAATGAAAAAAAGAATGTTAACAACAAATACTTTTTTTTACAGCCAACCCAGTTCTCCGGAATCAGAATCAATGTTGAGTTTAAGCAAGTGTATGAGCCAATTGGAGTAAAGTGCCATGCAGATTTAAATTTTTCCCACTTGTGACGAATGCAGCTATCGATTTTTTTTTGCTAGCATGCTAGTTAACATTCGTGTCAGTCAGCTGTTGGCTCTCACGCTGGCCAATAGAATCTTCCTGCCTATTCGTGGCAGCCAGCTATAGGCTCTCACTCTGGCCAGTAGACAATGGCCGCAAACTACATGAAAACTGCCGTAGAAGCATAAAAAATTGATTATTTCCACTATCGATGGGAGTTGGGAAATGCAAAGTCGGCCTTGGCCTTGCCGCTAACTTGGAGCATGTGCATGTAAATTTTGGTGCAAATCCGTCGAAAATTGCGGCCGTGCATTCGTTAGATAAACATAACACACACCACTTATTACAAACACATTTGGCTTTTGCATATTTTAATAAATTTGAACATTATATTATGTTCGTGAGAACACGAGTGTAAATCCCTCATATGTAGGATTAATTTTTATTCAACCCCGGCCTTCGTCAAATATTGTCGGCCAGTGACCCTGAAGCGCAGATTCTTCATCAGACCATGAATTCTTTCCTCTCTAGGATGGGTGTTTATATATCTACCTGTCATATGGTGATTCCCACGTGTGCACATTCTGGGTCGATCATGTGTTTACGTGTGAGTGACAGCCACTAGCATCTGGTGAAGCGCGGATCTGCATCGGGCGAATAGTAGGTCATGGAATAAGGAAGATCTATTTTTTTACCCTACACAGTAGTTTTTTAAATAAAAACCTCGTGCCATAATATCGATAATGATAAAGATATGTTAGCCTGTGGTGGCTAGTATTCAACACTGCCGTCAGGGTTCGTGCCTAGTTCAAAGCAGGAATGTGAATGTCCGAATACTGACTTTTAAACAGACAGAAAACCTACACTTATAAAATTAGCTCAGCAAGATTTTCTTTCTCCTAAACGATTTGCAGACTAAACTAAGCCTAGAGATTATCAGGTTGAACAAACTGACTTAAAAAGTATTAAGTATGCATTGGGGTGCTACTATAAGAGATAATCTGCTCTCTGTTCATTTTTTGTGTGCTTCTCCTACTGTGTGCTTGTGCCAGTCTTAGTTCAAGATTAATAAAATATATAAAGTCTTTTTATTCTAATACAATAACAAGGAGATTTATCTTCGCTGACCAGCGTTACAAATTTACCAACCTGTATAGGATGTTTATGTCAAATTTACATTGATTATTTCATTTACCTAATCTAAGCTAGTTTCGGCCAACATGGCCATCATCAGGAGAAAAATAATTTTCTGATTGCTGATAGCAATGAATTACAGAAATGAATGTCTTGATAGAGAAAATGACCTTTTGTCTGTAGTTTTCATTTGTTTTTTATTTTTTTAACATAAATTTTGGTCAGTCCTTTTTTGTTGGTCAAACAGTCTCTTTTAAGTTGTTATTTAAGATAAGAGCTTTGAATTCCCTTAGTCAGTTTGACAGTTTTATTGGTTCCTGGAAAGGAGATGTGTCTCTGTTAACTGTGAGTGTGTTATTTGGTTCTTAGGGAGGGAGTGAGTATGTTGTGTCAATCTTGCAGTCAATGTTTTGTCTCATTTGTGGGACTTTAATGTATAAGAGCCATGAAAAAAGATAAAAAAGGGTCAGTTCTTTGTGCCGCTCTTGAAAGTATCTGACTCTTCCTGCCATGCAAGTGTCAGATCAGATGATAAAGGGATTCAAAATTGCTGCTATATCTGAGGCTGGAGCTACACAATCCCCAATTTCCTGCTTTGACAGAGTTTAAAAGCGTTTACTCGCTCTTCTGGGCGATGAATTTTTCTCTAACGTAAAACCCTAAAAACCCAACGACGATAACTTGCAACCCTCGAGCTATTTTTATGGCAAATATTCAGACTAGCTACATTCCGCCAGTCTAGACCCTCATAGCTAGGACCTGCTATGCCGCATACACAGTGTCGAATCATCCTCATTCCTTTTGTATGACATTGATGAGAAGGAAATTCCACTCCCACAGCTTCTTCACCATAATTATTCCTTTTTTTTGGAAGTGATTGCTTAAAGGATTTTCAAAAATCGCTGCAATCTTAACCACTTTATGTCGAGGACCAACCGTTATCTATCTTACATAATCTCATTATATACACTTTTTACTTCCTTCTGTGCTTACCTCAAACTCATTCAGCAAACCGATAACTTGAGTGGCTTTTAGGTCTTGTATACAATAGTAGAGAAAAACGCCTACTTTAAAAATCAACATGCTGAAAAACATCATCAACTTCTGGATAATAGGACGTTATTAATTCAGGTACGATGTATAGGGTGTTACATAATTATTTGAATTTATGGTAAAAAAGATTCATTATTTGCATTATTCGGACTGTTATCCCCATCTGCATTACCAGGATCATAGCATTTCGGCCGTTGTACGCTCTGGCCTTCTTCAGGTGAATAGAATTTCGAAACGAACCCTTTATTTCGTCCAACGGGATAAATTGTTCTAGCTCCACGTGCCATGCCTCTTCAGGATATCATAGCTATTTACCCTTTAACACAACTATCCAAGTTTTAGGTTCACTGTGGCCTGGAATTGAACTTAAAACTCTTTGGGTTTAGTCTTTATCCGTTAGGACATAAGTCCTTGAGGACATCTGTATAGGAAAAACTTATAAACCTAATGTCTCACTAAACATTTTTGCCATTATCATTTTTCTTATTATTAATTTATTTTTTCTATTGAAATTTTTGTTGTTGTTATTCATTGCTTTTCTCTAGCACTCCTTATTAATAGTTCCCTTATTGTATTCATTTCTATGCTTCGTCGGCTCAGAAGATTTTTGTGGATAACAGACCGAATATGTAAATAATACAAGTAATCATGATACCTCATCTCAGAGATATAGACAGATATATAGAGAGACATAGACATAAAGGCCGGAGCGTACAACGGCAAGAAACGTTGTGAATATGGAAAATGAAGATGAGGATAACAGTCCAAATAATGTAAATAATGCAAGTAATCATGATACCTCATCTCAGAGATATAGACAGATATATAGAGAGACATAGACATAAAGGCCGGAGCGTACAACGGCCAAAACGTTCTAATGAATATGGCAATGAAGATGAGGATAACAGTCCAAATAATGTAAATAATGCAAAGTAATCATAATACCTCATCTAAGAGATATAGACAGATATATAGAGAAACATAGACATAAAGGCCGGAGCGTACAACGGCCAAAACGTTGTGAATATGGCAATAAAGATGAGGATAACAGTCCGAATAATGTAAATAATGCAAGTAATCATGATACCTCATCTAAGAGATATAGACAGATATATAGAGAAACATAGACATAAAGGCCGGAGCGTACAACGGCTAAAACGTTGTGAATATGGCAATGAAGATGAGGATAACAGTCCAAATAATGTAAATAATGCAAGTAATCATAATACCTCATCTAAGAGATATAGACAGATATATAGAGAGACATAGACATAAAGGCCGGAGCGTACAACGGCCAAAACGTTGTGAATATGAGAATGAAGATGAGGATGTCAGTCCAAATAATGTAAATAATGCCAGTAATCATAATAACTCATCTAAGAGATATTGACAGATATATAGAGAGACATAGACATAAAGGCCGGAGCGTACAACAGCCAAAACGTTGTGAATATGGCAATGAAGATGAGGATGTCAGTCCAAATAATGTAAATAATGCCAGTAATCATAATAACTCATCTAAGAGATATTGACAGATATATAGAGAGACATAGACATAAAGGCCGGAGCGTACAACGGCCGAAACGTTGTGAATATGGCAATGAAGATGAGGATAACAGTCCGAATAATGTAAATAATGCAAGTAATCATAATACCTCATCTAAGAGATATAGACAGATATATAGAGTGACACAGACATAAAGGCCGCAGCGTACAACGGCCGAAACATTGTAAATATGGCTATGAAGATGAGGATAACCCTCCGAATAATGTAAACAATGCAAATAATCATAATACCTCATCTCAGAGATATAGACAGAGATATATAGAGTGACACAGACATAAAGGCCGTACCGTACATCGACCGAAACGTTGTGAATATGACAATGAAGATGAGGATAACAGTCCAAATAATGTAAATAATGCAAGTAATCATAATACCTCATCTCAGAGATATAGACAGATATATAGAGAGACATAGACATAAAGGCCGGAGCGTACAACGGCCAAAAACGTTGTGAATATGGCAATGAAGATGAGGATAACAGTCCGAATAATGTAAATAATGCAAGTAATC